AAGGTACAGTTGATATATTTTAAGTGTGCAGCTCAGTAAGTTGTGACCCACCACCACAGTCAAGATACAAGCACGTTCCTCACCCGCCCAAATGTTCTCTTTTGCAATTTGCTGTTTCTGCCTGTGGTACCTGGACATCTGCCCATCTGCCCTCGGGGGTGCTTCTTCCTGCAGCTACAGAGGCCCCACTGTGTGCCTGTCCCCCCTGTCTACCTAAACAGCCACCTCCCGAGGGTCACCTGGATTGCTTCCAATACCTTTGCTATCCTCAGACAATGCTGCTACATGCGACCCCGCACACTTGCTTCCTGCCTGAGCAGATACGTTTGGAAGATAAACAAGATACGGTCCCCAGAGCTGGACTGCTGTTTGACAGCCCCGGAGTTTCTGTCTTATGTCACCAGCTCCCCTCTGGGACCTGCCAAAATCTTTTCCCCTCTTTTCCTCTTACCAACAGAGCTGCAGCGGACACCCCTGGACCCATGCTTTTGTACATCTGTGCAAGTTTGTACGTGGGAAAACTTCCAGAAGCAGGATTATTTCAGGGCCTGCTTCTGCTGAGGAATGCTACAAACAGACTGCTCACCCTGAGCTGAAAGCTGCAGAGAAACCCAGTTCCCCCCTGGGCTTCTGAGTTGACTAACACCACCACAAACAGCCTGAGCCAGCCAGGCGGCAGGGACCGCACCCTTGGCCCCACCCTCAACAGCCACTGTGACTGCTACCAGCCAGGGCCCCAACTATTTGGCTCCCCCTGCCAACCCAGCTGAATGACATGAAACAGCAATCTGGACAAAATACGTGAGGTTACTGAGTTCTGGGCAATGGTGGGGTGGGAGGGTAGGGGAGCAGGGAGGCGGGGCTGGAGAGCTCTCTCCTGAATCAAGCATCCGTCATTGCCAAATAGTTCATAAGAGAATAGTTGCAAAGGCTGAAGGTGTGTCATAGCGTCCCTTGCCTCACCTCTCTAGGGAGAGGAACTTGGTGGAAGTGGCCCCTTTCCTTTGCTACTTTGTAGCCATCAATACAGCTAAACTCTTTACAAGGTACATGTGTTACTGTTAAAATTAAACAAAGTTAACTTACCAAAATTTACCTTGAGTTCCTTCCAGCTGACATCACTACCAGCCAAGCTCTGTGCCAAAAAAACAAAACAAAAACAAAGAAAAAAACCGTCACTTCTAAACCTGGCCTATCAAGAAAAGGCCAGCATCATCCTGGCTTCTCAGAGGACATCACAGAAGCTCCACAGATCAAGTCAGGTGCCCAAAGGCATGCCCAGGAGGTGGCAGACCCTCAGTCACCCATAACCACAATAGTCAAGGCAGCTCACAGTCGCCCTGCCACTTCCCACTGACTCAGAGGCTCCAGGTAGGCAGGGGGCTGAATCAGAGTTCAGCCCAGTGTCCCTGTTTGCCAAGCGTGGAATTAGCCCAACATTCCTGTTCACAGGGCCCAGAGAGTGGAAAGGAGAAGTGACACATCCAAGCTAACACAGGAGCAAGTGGCAGGGAGGGGACTGGGCCCCTCCTCTGCAATGACCAAGGACTTTTACCAAGCACCAAGGACCAAGTCCTGTGCCAACCCAGGAGCACCAAAAGGAATAAGGCAGGGTGGACACACAGGCCCCCAGAGAGGGCTTCCATCCAGCTCAGGGACGTCCACCCGCACACGGCCGTTGTTAGAAATGCCTTGTAAAGTACAGGGAGTAAGATGGCAGAATTCCTTAAGACTAGTCGCAGAGTCTCGTCTGTTCTCACTTTTCCCGGGCAACTGCATCTGACTCAATCATCATGGATAATATCATCTCCCCCCTCCACTCAGCCCAGGTGCTGGGCTGACCAGGGCACCCTCATCCCGCCAGCAGGTTGTCGCTGGAGTGTCAGGCCACACCCACCCCTCAACAGCCTGGGAGGCCAGGAATCATGAATAGCGAGGTCAGAAACCTGCTTTACCAAAGAGCAAAATGCACTGTCATCAAAACAGCATGACACTGGCTCTGGGAAAACATCCAGAAGTAGTCCAGAAACAAACTCAAGAACACATGAGCACATGATGTAGGTTAAGGTGGCACCGCAGCGTCATGGACAGATGCTATCTGCCTCGTGGATTTACCTAGAACAAGACAGTCTGAACCTTACTTCAGACTGTATACAAAAACGAATTCCGGGGGGGAGGGCATAGCTCAAGTGGTAAAGCGCATGCTTAGTGTGCATGAGGTCCTGGGTTCAATCCCCAGTACCTCTGTTATAAAAAGAATTATATAAATAAACCTAATTACCCCTTCCAAAACAATGAATTCCAGGGGAATCACATATTTCAGCATAAAAATAAAATACAAAAGATGAAAACGAACACAAAGATCTGAATGAGATAGTTCATAGGAGCTTTATTCATAATTGGCCCAAACTGGAAACAACCCAAATGTCCATCAATGGGCGAAAAGATAAATTGTGATCTAGCTATACAACCGAGTACAACTCAGTGATGAAAAGGAACAACTGCCGATAAGTACAACATGGGTGTGCCTCAGACGTACTAAACTGAGTAAAAGAAGCCAAACTCAAAAGCCTCCATACCGTGATTGTTTTTGTGACTTCCTCAAAAACTGCAAAGCGTTAGGAACTGAAAACAGATCAGCTGCTGTCAAGGGCTGGGGGTTGGGTAGGAACTGACTACAAAGAGATATAAGAAACTTCTTGGGGAGGGGATGGAAACATTCACTATCTTGATTGTGGTGATGATTTCACGGGTGTATGTAAATAGCAAAACATGCAGTTTACTGTCTAACAATGATATCACAATAAAGATGTCAGGGAAAGGAGGAAGAAAGGGAAGGAGGGAGAGAGAGAGAGAAGAAAGGAAAAGGGAAAGAAAAGAAAGAAAAAAACAGCAAAACTGGCAATCATGAGTGAATATAGAATTGTCCATATACACTGTGGCAGAGTCACACAACAGTTCCCTGTATGTGTGTTGACTGCTAAGTGGAAACAGCAAGTTACAAAGTAACATGTGTAGCATGCTCCCAACCTGAGTGTATCCAGGTTTGCACAAGCAGGGGAGAGAGGGTCCTCCAGAGAGGCACTTCCAAAGGTTACACTTGGCCGTTTCAAGACTAACACTGCCCTCTAGAGGACTTGTTGGAGACAGATTTATTGCAAATAATCTCATTACAAGTCGTTTTCCTAAACACTCTAATGAAACAGCTCTTATCAAGATCTCCAGGGACCAAACACTTGCCAAAGTCAACAAGTCAATTCTCTTTTCTCATCTGACTCAAACTCAGCAACAGGTGACACAGCTGATCACTCTGGCCATCTTGAAACATCTTCTGGAGGCTTCTAGGAGAGGATAACTCACTTCTTTCTTGTCCTACCTCACTGGGTGGGCCCACTCTCCTGCTGGCTCCTCTTCCTCCTCACCTCTAAGGTTGGGGAGCCCTTGGTCTCCTTCTTAGCCCCCTTCTTTTGCTGTTTTGCCCCTCACCCCCAAAACCATGTGAACTCCTCTGGATACCCCCTGTATAAAATGACGCTCAAAATCACTCCAGATCCTTCTTAGATCCTGACTCCAGTTCCAATTGTTCCATATGCTTGTCTCAAACCTATCACAGCCAAACACAACCCTTGACCGCTCCTCCAAATCACCTCCCTTAAGATTTCCTCATCTAAGTAAGAGGCAGCACCCAGGGTCTCCAGACTTTTAAGAGTCACCCCTGCCTCTCCTCTCTCCTTCACTCCCTCATAAATTCTATAGGTGCTACTTCTGTCTGTGTAATTCCTACTCAGGCTTTGGGCTTCGTCCTGAGCATCAGGCTCCCAGAGGAGCCTTCCCTAACTTCTCAGACTGGTTTGGCAACCCCCTCCACCATAATCTGCTCTGAGATCCAAATGCATTCCTCTGTTGCACTGAACAATGTAGCAAATGATCCTTTATGTTTAAGGCCTCTTCACTACTTCGTGGGAATTGCCGAGCCTTGTTGGAGCCCTCACCTAGCCCCTACCTGCCTATCCAACCTCGTGTGAATGAAAAATGTTGCCCGCCATCTAAACAAAGTATGTTGCAGCCATCAAGCCACTACAGCCGGCGCCTGGCGGTGAGCACTGAGACAACTCAGGGTGGAGACAAACGAGCTGCCCTCAGCCCTCAGCCACAGCAGCCACCCCCAACGGTTCACCCAGAAGGGACTCAGGATGGGACAAAGAACAGGATACTGGCCCTAGAGAGCTAAGGTGCTTATCAAAGGAATGATTTCAGTGACCCTAGACCCTTGCACCTCCCCTCCATAGAAATATGCAAAATTCCTTAACTTGAGATGTCTGGTTTTCTTTTGGGGGAGGGGTTCTTTAACTAACAGTAATCTTTTGATATTCTGACTATCTGGTCTCTGTTGCAAAATCTGTATATCCTGGCTCCTCTCTTACCTCTTCGGAGCACTCAGAGCTATTCTGAGAGGCTGCCACCCAGCCTTTAAGTCCTCAGAAAGTCTGCCTAATAAAATATAATTCTCAACTTTGAGGTTGTGCTTTTTTTTTCAATCTACGTGTATGGTAACTTCGAGCCCTCAAGTGTGGTCCAGGGACCAAAGCATGGACATCACTGGGGAGCCAATCAGAAAGGCAGACTTCCAGGCCCCACTCCTGTCCTAATAAACCAGAACCTGAATTGTAATAATATCTGCAGGTTCTTGTTAAAATTTGAGAAGAGCGTCTTAGAAGCTTCCCCCTCACTCGGATTCCGCCACACCTGTATTTGCAATTCCTCCGCACTGAGATATGTGTGTTCCCCGTCGGGGTGACCCAGGTGAGCTGCCAGGGGCTGGGATTTGAACAGAGACAGAAGAGAAGCGAATATGCTGCAGCCAAGGGAGGGGCTGCCTTTCCAATGCTGCTAAGCCCCGGTCCACCACCCCCGAAAGGCGGGAAAGCCACCACCGGAGCTCGCCGGAAGCGCCTGGGAAGCGAGTACGCATGTGCGCAGAGAAGATGCTGGAGGGGGCGGCCTACTCCCTGGGCGGTCCCGGCTGCCGGTTGGCGAGACGGAAGGAGAGGGGAGGGATTTCCGCCTCCGCCAAGAATCGGAAGTCACTGTCTCCCGGGTGAACGAGGCAGTCGCTACGAGGATCGGCAAGTGCAGGTGAGGGTTCGCGCGGGCAAGCGTTGGGGCTGAGAGGGGTCGATCGCTCTACGACTCCAGGACGGGTGCTCACGGGGTCCTGGGGGAGGCGCCGAGGGACCAGGGCTTGGGGGGCGGCCCGTCGGGGAGCTTGCCTCCGGGAGGTCCCAGCCCGCTAAGCGCGGCTGCTCGGAGGCCTGGCTCCTACGGGCGGCCAGCGAGAGGCGACGCCGAAGCCTCAGTGAGTCTGGAGCGACCAGCTCACCCGCCGCCTCTTGAGTCACGGCAGGGTCGGTGGCTGAGCCCTCTTCCAGCCCCCCTTGGCGCACTTGGACTTAGATCTCCACAAAAGTGCATCCCGAAGTCCCCGGAGCTTTATGTGCAGGCCAGACCCGTTTTCTGGAATGTAGTTGTGGGTGCTGTGGTCACTGGAAAAAACGAGAGGTTCTGGGGCTCATCTGTAGCTTCTGATCCCGGAGACTTCTTTGTGTATTCAACAGATAGTTACTGAGCACTTAGTGCATACCAGGCACTGTGCGTGCTGGGGATTCAGCAGTGGGCAAATCATGCTCGCACCCCAGCCCGCAGCACTGACATTCTAGTGGAGAAGTGGTCAGATGCTGGATATATTTTAGAGATCGAACAGTAGGATTGGGGTGGGGTAAGGGGCGTGGGAGAGGGCCAGAGGAATCGAGGATGAGTCCAAGGTTTTTGGAACTTTCTCTCTGCTGAGCTGAGGAAGACTGCGGGAGAGCAGGTTGGGGTGTTTGGAGCTTGGTTCTGGACAGGTTACGTTTAAACGCTTGTTAGCATCGGAAGAAGTGTGGCTGAGGCAGGTAGTCAGGGGAGTCTGCGGTTCAGAGGTGACAAAAGTGTAGAGGAGGCTTGTGAAGCCCTGACACTGGGTGAGCTCTCTGTGGAGATGAATGGAGATGGAGCAGCGAGGGACCCAAAGATTGAGTTTGTGGCCTCTCGTGATGTGGGGGTGGGGGTGGGATCACAGCAGCAAAGACTGAGGAGCTGCCATTGAGGAGGGGGTGGGAGAGTGCAGGGCCCTGAGAGCCTTGTGAGAAGGGTGGGAGGAGGAACTAGGGTGTCCAGTGCCCCTAGGAGTGGGGACTGCCCCTTGGGGTGGACAGCATGGCGGGGGCATCTGTGTGGAGAGAATGGGAAATGGGAGGGAAAGCCCCTGGGATCCTCAGGGCCCTGTGCCAGTCCTCCCTTCACCACAGGCCAGCCAGGCGTGCTTGCCAGCCTGATTCCTAGAGAGTCGATCTAGAGGGCTGCGTGGGTCCCATGAGTCACTGAATTCTGCCACCTTCCTTCCACAGGTTTGCCCTCCTGCAGACATGGGGCGTAGAAAGTCAAAACGGAAGCCACCCCCCAAGAAGAAGATGACAGGCACCCTAGAGACCCAGTTCACCTGCCCCTTCTGCAACCACGAGAAGTCTTGTGATGTGAAAATGTGAGTGGGGGACAGGGGGCCTCCCCTCTTCTTCCTCAGTCAGGAGGCAGCTTCCCCATTCCCACCATCCTCCATCTCCTCCAGCCTTCCTGATTGGGGGGTGGGGTCATCACCCACCAACACAGGCCTTCTCATTCACTAGTCCTTCTGTCTCCTCCCACTCCAGGGATCGGGCCCGCAACACTGGTGTCATCTCCTGTACCGTGTGCCTAGAGGAATTCCAGACGCCCATCACTTGTATCCTTGGGAAACCAGGCTTTTTCCAGGGGGTGAGGGTGGGGCGGTCAGGGCTGCCCTGCCCAGAGTGGGCTGCTCAAGGACACCCAGCCCTCCTAGGTGCCCTGGTGCAGGGCTGTGGCCACAGAGAGGAATCAGAGCCACCTGCTGACTTACGTGGGGTGACAGGGTGCAGGGCAAGGGGCTGACAAACATTTGTGTGAACAACAGAGTATGTATAAGAAAGGGGTCCAGCGCTACCAGTTGCCCTTGACCTAAGCGGCTCAGATCTATCAGAACCAGTGGATGTATACAGCGATTGGATAGATGCCTGTGAGGCAGCCAATCAGTAGCAACGCAGAAGACCCACCCCCCTTGGCAGCCCCGCCTGCTGGGTACCAATCCAGAGACATTCCAGGGTTGGGGTGTGGGTCCAGGGCCTTTGCAGCCCTTTGTGTGTGTGGAATGGGTGTGAA